ATTTACAGGAATCGTAATAAAGTACGACAGTAATGGTGTTTTAGAATTATTTAAATTGAAATATCTCCTGAACTACTAACTTTTCGACATACATAGGTTAGTACTTTTTTTATAACGAATACCAGCTGCATCGATTGATGTATTAAAAAATACCTCATTCCTTTTAAAAAAACAAAGTTAACCTTTATATAACCTTTACGCGTCTACTCACGAAAAAACTAATAACATCCGAATATGCTCCACTCGATACCATTCAAGCTTCCGCTGAAACATTTTTTGCTACGAGTAACAGTAGCGACAAAATCAAGATGTCAAAATCGGGTGAGACACCCTGTATAATGGTACACCTATGTATTTCAATCTAATAGACAATTAATATTTTAATATTTTATACGTTTATAAGCTTACATAACTACTTATATTCAATATGAATTAAACATGATACGAAATGTAGTTTATTATAACTGAAAATATCTAAAAACATTGAAACATTTTATGAGAACAATATTATATACACCACACTTTCTGTGATGAAATATACGAGTTAAACGCGACACCGTATGTATTCCATCCTGGGTGTGCTGGGTGAGAGAGTGGGGTACGTGCACGTATGAGCGAGGGCCGATGCCAACGTGCAGTAAAAGGGACTCCATTTAACGAACGGCTACTGTATACCAATAGTGTAGATACTGATTTGGCTAAATATGATGTTTAATGAAAATTTTACTTCTGGTGATAGGAAAACGCGTTGATTAGTTCTATCGATTATAGTACATATATGCCTAAGAAATTACAAACCTGTTGATATTGATTATATGGCCGTATGCATTACGTTTCTTGACCGATTGGCAAAATTCTCTTGAACAGATTGCGGGAGCTATTAAGTTGGTATCCACTACTCTACGGAAGTCTTCAGTGGGTGAGTCTGCAATACAATATGTATTAGTTTGTTTATGCGACAATTTCTTTCGTAATTCTTATTGATGATGTTGATACGAGCAGTTTTGTCTGAATTATCTACTATATCGAGTATTATACCGAGATATCGCATATTTATTATTACATTCTGACGTTGATTTCTTTTATATCCACTATTCCATTAATCTTCTCTATTTGTATATAGTTAATATATGATTTCTAATACACATAAAATTTTCTTCAGTCCAATATAATAACATGTACATATAGTTGGTACCGTTTGTACTTTGTACCTGTTATTCAGTTGTAATTCATTGCGTAACATAATAATTGCTACCTTCTGCTTCCGTTATGCATCGTACGTTTCACAATACATACTATCTATTCCACAAAATTGATTTTCTGAATGTTCTTACAGAGTTTCAGAAACAATTTCTATTCGTCCACATAACATTGTTCTTAGAGAAGTACGAATAGCACAAAAACGTCACATATACGTCTGGAGAACGTATAATCTGGACGTTCGGTAGATATATTCGGAGGATGTCCCGAAAAGGTCCACATGTTCACCTTACATCAGGCATGTCAAACACGCGGCCCGCCAATACATTGGTTGCGGCCCGCCGAGACTTTTTAAACATTTTTAAATATCAAGCTTTGACGCTTGAAGTTGGAAAGTTTGAACTTTTTGGTTGACGCTGGCGCGAGGCGTCAAATGAAAAGCGGCGGCCGAAACCGAACGGAGATAAAAACACAAGACGATCAGAAACATGATAGAACACGGAGCGATCTAATGCGAAACACGACACATGTTTGTCCAAATCCAAGTCGTCACAAAGTGCAGTGTTTGCTCAATCGTTTGCGAATGATATTTTGAACTCTAAAGTGGATTTTGGTTTTTATTCATATTAAACTAAAAAGTTATTTAATAAAAATATAATCGAACTTCAAGAACAATGAGTAAGAAAAGATCAATTGAAGAGGAACATCGTAATTTTCAAGAAAAGTGGGAACTGCAATATTTTTGTGTTCAAAACAAGAATAAAATATTATGCCTGATATGTAAAAACTCTATTTCAGTTGCTAAGGAATATAATCTTAAAAGGCACTATGACACAAATCATAAAACAAACTATGACCAATACGTTACAAAACTACGTGAAGACAAATTGTCGGAATTGAAATCAATTCTTCAAAAACAACAAAGTGTATTCACGAAATGTGTTGAAGACAATACAGCTGCTGTAAAAGTTAGTTATATATTATCACATTTAATCGCAAGCAGATCGAAACCATTTACGGAAGGGGAATTTATTAGTGAATGCTTAATTAAAGCGGCGGAAGTATTATGTCCAGCACAAATAAAGAAATTTAAAAGTGTAAGTTTAAGTCGAAATACTGTAGCCAGCAGAATTGATGAAATAGCCGAGAATTTGAGAAATCAGCATAATACAACAATATCAACATTTCAAGCCTACTCTATTGCAATTGATGAAAGTACAGATATTCGAAATATCGCTCAGCTGGCCGTTTTTATTCGCTGATGCGATGTTAATTTAAAAATAAGTGAAGAACTTTTGGAAATCACTCCTATGCATAATACAACCACTGGAGCTGATATTTTTGATGCACTTATGGAAGTTTGGAACAAGTATAAGTTACCATTGGAACAGTTCGTTTGTCTTGCAACTGATGGTGCACCTACCATGACCGGTATTACTAAAGGAGTTGTTGCAAGATTAAAAGAAACATGCAAACAGCATGGTAATAATAATTTTGAACATTTTCATTGTATTATTCACCAGCAAGTACTGTGCTCCAAAGTTTTAAATATCGGACATGTTTTAAAAATAGTCACCAAAATTGTAAATTATATTCGAGCACGTGGACTTAATCATCGTCAATTTGCTTCATTTCTGGAAGATATAGAATGTGAATACACCGAT